GACCACAGAATGAGTCAGCTACACAGCCTGGATTAGAACTCAGCACTTCTTGATTTTCTACCCAGTGTTCACTCCTACAGACCACGCTGCCTTTACTGGTCTTTTTAAAGTAACATGGACAAAGCACTATAAAATGTACCATTTCTACTGTACAGCAAGCAGGGCCTTATCGCCATAAAGTCATCTCTTTCTCCCCTCCCGACTGATTTGCAAAACAAAGACTGATTAAATCTTAGAAGCAGGACCTTCTTGGATGTACATCCTGCCTCTCTAGATCAGCTTTTAAAGATTAGTATCAGGGGGTAGCAGTGTTAGTCTGTATCTACAAAAACAACAAGGAGTCTGGTGGCACCTTAAAGGCTAACAGATTTATTTGGGCATAAGCTTTCGTGAGTAAAAACCTCACTTCTTTTAAAGATTACTATCTCAACTAATTATTAATACCTTCTCTAGCAAGCTGATTTAAAGAGAAGTGGCACAGATCTGTGTAATGGACCTATGGGGGAGACAGGACCTTGGATGGGTTGATCTACATTTGGTAAGTGCATCAGTACCATCCAGGTTATTTCATGGGTCCATCACCATGACATTTGGAAGCCTTCCTGCAAAGCCCTTAGCAATGTGACTTGCATCTATCAGGTGGCCCCACATTCATCCAACAAAAATCTCCCCATCACCAAACTCATTATGGGACAAGTTCCCAAATTCTTAGGAAACTCCGAACTTCTGAATCTATCTCAGCTCTGCTGCCTCCAGGCATGCTCACAATAGCAAGCCTATTAAAAATATTATGTTCAACAAGACACCTGGATTCAATTATTTTTTCCCTTTCACTCCAATGTTGTGTGTGGCCCAAATGACTGCAGTGAGCTTTTGTTCTCGTCCCTGTCTAAGGGACTTTGCTCAAGCACTATCGAAGGCCTGAAAAACAGCATTCACAACATTGCACTAACTCAAAATCTAAAAACTTTTGCGGGACAGATGAGTGCTGAAAAATTAACTTTCTGGGCCCTTCCTCTGCTACATTTATTGCTGTCTTGGCAGATGAATTTCAGGTTGTTGCCACAGCCGCAAACTGCTTGTTCTGCCAACTGTACATTACTAACATTGGAAAGTGTCCAAACCTAGGAATCTTTTCTAAAAGCATTTGCTTCATACTTTAAATAACAGCCGCCAGGCGTGCTGGGGGATGGGGAGGGAGGGCTTAGCTGATATATGTGATGCATTTACAAGATTTCCTGCCTCCTTTTGGTTCCTCCACCATTTTGTGGGACAAAAAGAAGTAAGATCCTGCAGAGAGAGAGAGAGACAAAGATGATTTTGGGGAGGAAGAGCAGAGGAGATGTGACCTCTAAATCTTCAGGAGAAAAACTCTTAAAGGCTGACAGTGGGGGAAAACTTCCACTAGTGAGTGAACACTTGGCAAGAAGCGGCTGAATCGTAGATTGTTTCCATTCATTATGAGCTTACACCTGCTGGCTCCCGTAACTTCACAATTTGCAGAGAACTCTGATAAGTGCTCTGCACTCAACACAGGCTTTCATTTAGGAATTTTCTAACAGAATTTAAAGGGATTTTGTCCCCTACTACTTCATTTAAATTCTCTCCGCCTCTGCTGCTCTGTTTGCAGGTTCAATGTAACATTTCTCCTTTTCCTGTTAATTATGTTCCCCATTGGGCAGATTATTTTAGTTTGCTGTTTTTTTTTTTTAAATTAAGCATTGCAACAATAAAAATGGATGATCGTTTGTATATTTCCCTGTGTTAGTGTTGTGCTGTCCACCAAAGATGCCAACAGGTTTGTGTCCCAGTGCCAAGAACCCTGCCATACTCTGGTCATTGCTGGCAAACAAGTTATATTCCACAGGTGGGCTCCCTAACAGACAACCAACTGGATGCTCAGATGAGCTTTTAGGTGCATGTGTGGTTTTTTAAAAGCTTGTCTTGCCTACATGCAATCACTATATATATATATAGGTGTTTGTAACGTAAGACAAGCTTTACATATCTAGGTGCCCATTTGAACACCTGCATGTGGGATGTGGATTTGTAATTCTTGTGTTAGTGTACACCAGTTGCAGTGCATTAGGAGTCGCAGCACAGGAATGAAGAGCGCACAACAAACTAGCACACATTCTCACGCTCTCTCTCACACATGTAGGGGTCGTAAAACTAATTAATTCCTTAACATCACACCACTGCCAAGTGGGTACGTGCCACTTAAATGTCTTGATACCACAAATACACAGCTTTTCATTCAAGAGAGTGCGCGCGCGAGCCCATCTTAACCCATTAGGCTGCACAATGATTACAGATGGGTGTTCTTAGACTTCATCTGTCCAACGCATTGCAACACATCAAGCTGCTGACTTGACTCGACCACCCAATGTAGTCCTTGCCCCATGTTGATGTAAAATGCTCCACTATTTCTGCATAAGCCTCAAGTCTCAGTCCCATCTCTATCCCTATGGCAATAAGCATACTCTTGGCTGCTATCGCCCAGCTGTGGCATCAAGGGCTGTACCTGTGAAAGCTTTCACTGTGCCTTTGAGTGCTGTCATAGGCCACATTAAATGCACTCACAAGATGCATGTGACCCTTTTTCCTCAGGCAGAGCTTTGGCTTCCCTTGCTCTAAACAGATCATAACGCCAGTCCTCTGGCTCTGCAGTAGATGCTCTCCCATTCACAATGCTTCCGAAGCAAAACCAGAACCTAAGCAATCAGCTGATACTAAGCGATTCTTTGACTGGGGCTACATAGAAATAAAGACAAGGGGAGAACAGAAAGGAGATAAGAAAACAACCACCACACGTGTAACATTCAGTACAAATGCAAGTATTGAAAAAGCTTCTCTTGACCCCAGCACAAATGTACTGACATTTCAACATCTCTCCATCACCTTCTCAGGCTAAATGCCTCTGCAATGAAATGTTTGTTAGCTAAGAAAATGCAGAGGTGAAATTTCATTTCTTCAGCAGTGTGGTGCAGTACCAAATAAGCCGGTAATACAGAACAAAGTTCAAGGAACAATATTTTTAAGTAGCGCTTGTCCTAGTTAATGTTCAGCCCTGCTGTGCAATGTCAAGAAAACTAATGAATACTGAAGTCCAGTAACTAAGAACCTCTTAAGTATTTACCCACTACGAAATTCTTTTCAGATTTCAGCTGTAACCTGAATGAAATCTGAAAACAGGCTCCCTGTTCCTTCGCAACGACAGTACGGCTAACACACAAAACACTTAATCAGAGATGAATGTTTCACAACTGCCCCCCTTTCCCCCTTTTTAACTCTATGGAGTCTGCGTTCTGCATTTCCATTCCTAAAATAATAAGTGTGTGAGGAGGATCCATGCCAGTGGCGCCAGCACATACAACCTAAAATGGTATACTCACTGAAGAACTAAATAGGATTGAAGTTAGCGCGCACAGAGACACAAGCCAAGTACGGTGTTTATGAAATCTTCAACATCTGTTACAAGGCAACAATATTTAAGTCTGAAAATGTCCAGCATGAATTTTGGCAAAAGGAATTGGATGAAGCTTGGGCAAGCCTGTCTTACCGCTGTTACTAATGGGTGAAATTCACCCCAAGGACTAAGTGATGGCTGCCCCAACCGGGCACCTCCAGAGCTAAAAGCATGAGCTGCTACAGAGTGAGCACAGCTGGGGGCTGTAACAACTCATATCCTCTGCACACTGGCACAGAAGTGGACCTATAACACATACTCACTTGTGGGTTCTATATGCAGCACTTATGCCCGGTTTCTTAAGCCCTTTGGATTTATGTGGCACATATGGTTTGGGCTTGATCTGCACAGGGGCGAACTTCAGCCCCGAAAGGAATACTTCAAGTGACTTTCATCTGAGGATACCAAAGTGCTTTTCTAACAATAAATTTAGCCACACAAAGGTGAAGGACGGGAGAATTATCCCTGTCGACACAACGGCTTTTTCAGACAGAAATGATTCTTCTCTTAATTTTGTTTATGGTGCCCAGACACATCAGTGATGGATGGATAGGTAATGTTTAGATTCATTTTGCAAATGGGGAACCATGTAAGATGAAGTTAAATTAATCGCTCAAGGTCACACAATGCGAGCATGTGGCAAAGCTGGGCAGAAAACCCAGATCGCCTGACTCCCAGTCCTATTGCTGTAACAACTAAACCACTGCCCCACATCCCCAGATCTTCAGCATTGCAGAACTCCTTGGGATGCAAAGCAAAGCTTTCATTTATTGACAAACTGATATCCCCTTTTTTTCTTTAAAGACCTCCTCATGCCATGTGGAAAGCTTGGAAAAAGCGTTCTATTCAGAGGGCATTCTGAATGTCTCCTTCCTCTTTTTAAATGACTAGGGACAATGGCACAAAAGTTGGTCTTTAAAGAGTTCATTGTTTCTGGTACTTTCTCCTTGCTTAAAGTCACATAGAAGAGAAGTCTGGTCTAGAATACAAGCACAAGACTGGGAGCCAGGAAAAATTTCTAAAATCTAATCCCAGGTCCAAAAGCCACGCCCTCCTCAGCCTCTCATCCTACCCATCTTTAAAATGGGTTTAATGCATATGTACCTACCTCACAGTGACATCAGAGATTCATTAGTTAACACACTTGATCCTGTAAACTTCACTTTTAAGAGCAGTCCTGTTCAAATTAATGGGAATGCTCATAGGAGGAAGGATGACTTCTGTGAATTAGAATTGGGCTCAGTGCTGGTAAAGCACTTCCAGGATAAACCAGATAAATGCTCAGCATTAACGTGTGCAGCCTTATAGCGCTTAACAGATCACTCTGGAAACGAGGACATCATCACAAACAGAATATTATGACTTCAAGTAACCATCTGCAGAAACAAATGATACTTTCTTTCATGGAAGAAGAAAAACGAGAATTGTGTCTGTCATGGTTATTGTTTGTAACTTAATCAATGCTGCAGATGGAACCTTAGCATGGTCTTTCTATCAGGCTCACAGCCACAGAGTTCAATTCAAGCCTTACCTTGTTCCAACCTCTTCATCTGCTGGATTTGGTCGACTGTCTTCTTTAGAATCTTGCATTTGTCTGGCTTGACACTCAGGGTGTCGATGTCACCAATGTTTGCCGAGAGCAGCTCCGCCAGCTCCTCTAAGTATTTATTCTCCTGCTCCCGGCGTCGCTTTTCATTGCTGTGACAAAACAAAACTCCAGGTTAATGACGTTCCCACTGCTTCCCCCAAACAGGCATGAGTGTCTCTAATACGCACCCAGAAACTTTTCTGCTTAGAGACAGGACTAAGCTGCAATCTGAATGTCTACAAAACGCAGGATGATTTGGCTCAGGCCCTTGTCTATTTTTATGCAGAATGAGTCACAGAATGAAAGCCCAGGAAGACAAGCACAATGCAGACTCAAATCATACATTTCCTCGAAGAAGATCTCTTTATAAAAACCAACATTCAGGACTCCTTGCTTATTTCAGAAAGTGAACTATAAACCTGCAAAGCCACTTGGTTTGCCAAAGCCAGCATTCAAGCTGGTGCAAAGCAGTCCTAACTTCACACACAAAGGATCAACAAAGCCCAGCGAAGTCAACTAAAAATAAAATGTGAATCAACAGTGGCAGGACTGGGATGAAAAGCAGTATTGCTATTGGTATCATCCCAACAAATGCCAACAGCAGCTCTGCTCCTTGAGGTCAGAGCCAAAGGAGAGGGCCAAATACTTCTCCATGAACTCTTTCCTTATGGCAAAATTCAGAGGTGTGGACAAACTGCAAACAGCTGAGCTGTAACTTGGCTCTCATGAGAGTCCCTCTAGAGACTAGAACATATTTCTGTGCCAGAGACACTGCGAGCAGGAAAAGTGTGTAATGAACTGTGCTGTGACACACACATGCCCCCCTCTCTATCACTAACCTCTACTGGGTGGAATCAGAACTGCTCAAATGTGCATCATAGGCCTTATACTGTTAGCAGTATAATGGACTAGTAAGTAAAAATGTACATATACACACTATTTGCTAAATAAAAGTCCTTATAAAAACAGTCAAATCACCTTCCTTGCAACCTTTAGAAGGACACAGAATAATAAATGATTTCAGAAAATACTGTCTAAAAATGGATTATTCTCAGTAATTAACAAGCTGGTGTGACACGAATGGTAGGTCACAAACAGGCCACAATTTTGAAACTGAACTAGAACAGTTTCCAGATCATAAGACAAATGCTACAAGGTCTATTCATCAGATGGAAAGAGACAGGGAAAATTAAAAGGAATATGTTGGGGACTGAAAATTATCTGAGCATGCAGTCAAGTTCTGTCTGGCAAGTGCGGGAGGTTGTGCAGAGGAACAAGCCAAAGGCTGCAAAAAGTGATCAGTTTCATCTTCTGTATGTGGTAGTCACTGTTAAAAGTGGACACATACAAAATGTTTACGACCAGCGTACAGCTAGCAGCACCCTGATAGGTCTGCAGCTACTGCTTAGAGATTATTCCATTCCCAAATATCCAGCCAAGTACACACCCACACCTATAGGGAACTCTATGCATACACTGCACAGATGTTCCGGGGTTTACAGATTTGTTCCTTTTTCGTATTCAATTCAAACAATATTATTAATTTTTTTCTGCTAGCCTTGACAGGTGTGCACGCTCTTCTTCACTCTGGCTTGGACGCTCTGTAAACAACTGACAATTGCACACACTCCTAGATGGACCATCATGCCCCTCACCGTTCTGGAACTCTGGCTCTTCCCTGGTGCCTCCATTAGACTGAGGTTCACCTTTCTACACCTTGTTGTCCTTTCTCCTCCCCAAAACCACTGCACATAGGGTTGAGAAGCCAGAGCGTTAACTTTCTGATCAGCTGATACAGCAGATCAGCAGCCACCTGGTCTCCCAGAAGAATCTGTATTTTGAAAAAAAATCAACTACCTGACTACGGGCAACTCCACAGCGTGGAGAAAAGGAATAAAATTTCTGGTCTGGCTTGCCAAATCTATGTAGCTTAGATTAAGTCAAGCTCCCTGTTAAGTGACAGATAACAAGTGACTGCTAGGCCTTTTCAGGGAGACAGGCAGCACTGTCCAATAACTTTTACAGGATCAGATAATGATTGGCTGCTAATTCAGGAGTGGGTACAGTTAGTCATTCTCCCCGCAGGCAGCTGACCACAACGTGGTAGCTGTATCATATCCAAGCAAATAGTTAAATGTTAATGTGAACAGGCTAGTGGCAAGTTTGAGTTTCACCTTCTGCAAAATTGTTGGCTCTGTCCAGGCTATCATCTTATCCTCTTTTTGTAACTGGTATCAGTGAAATCTGACGTAACTTGTGCTCTAGGAAGTGACCCACTTACATCAAGGGAAGGACTAAACCGTGCCCAATTACATTAGCTCCAGGGATCTAATGCACTTGGCAGGGACCTAGAGGTACGTGAAAGAGAACATCTATCTGAAAAGTGTGATCTCCCCACCCCAACTCCCATATGCATTTCAAAGGAGATATTCTATTAACATACAAAAAGAACAGGAGTACTTGTGGCACCTTAGAGACTAACCAATTTATTTGGGCATAAGCTTTCGTAGGCTTCATCAAGGGGGTTTTAGCCCACGAAAGCTTATGCCCAAATAAATTGGTTAGTCTCTAAGGTGCCACAAGTACTCCTCGTTCTTTTTGCTGATACAGACTAACAAGGCTACCACCCTGAAACCTATTAACATACAGTAACTACTCAACAGAGAATGCTGTAGAGAGGCCAATACATTTTTTTGTTAAGTTACCAAAGAGAAATATGAGGCACAATGCCAAAGGTCTGAGATTTCATAAATTAAAAGGTAACAGTTTGAATTAAAGAAAAAGAAAGAAAAACTGCAATCAATCTGTTTGCAAAAACAACTAAAGCAAATCTAGTGGATCACTTTATAAGCAAGTCACAGAAACACCCCACATACCACATTGAGCCATGCAGATGAATACTGAGCAGCAACCAAGTTCACTGCAGTGAGTCATTTTGCAAAACATTCAGACTCACACACAGGTGGGTCCTCTTTGCTTATTAAAGGGCAGGTAAACGTCTCAATAGAGTCGAATAGGTATTTCAGTTAAGGTCAAATTAATTTCCTCCCCTCTTTGCAAATCAAAAGGGAAAAAGCAGAAAAGCTACTTGTTGTGGGTGAACTCATTTGGTGAAAAAAAACCTTAATGTCACTGTTGCTGTGGCAACTTTCAAGTTGTGGGAGGGAGAATAGGCCAATTTTCCCTACATAAAAGCATCAGGAGAATATTATAGCAGTGGGCTGTTCTTTATGACTCTGGAGTATCATCACAGTAACGGTGAAACCGTCCAGGCTTTTACACAGGAATTCTGAAATTCAAGTAGCTCCATAGCATGCTATACTCCAGCCTTTGAACAAGATGTGGAGCAGGAAGTTGTCTCTGCCAGTCACCGGTGGAAGTTAAAACATCTCATTAGCACTTTCTGAAGAGAGGAGGATATAATGCCGGGGCACTGGCCAACATTCCCTCTCCCGGGGAAACACATTCCAGTGTCTAAATTGGTGAGAAAGCTCCTAATAGCTGCCACGTTTGCCTACAGGTATCCCAGTAAGCACTTTGCAAAGTGCTTTTCGATACCTTATGTGTAGGGGTCTACTTAAAATGCAGAGAAATCACACAATTTTTGCGGGTTGGTCATGGCATAAATAGCAAATTTTGCAGATGTGTTACACATCTGTGAAATTTCCTATTTATGCCATGACTGACCCATGAAAAATGTGTGATTTCTTTGCAGCGTTTCTCAAACTAGGGGCCCGGACCCAAAAGGGGGTCGCAAGCCTATTAGGGAGTTGCAGTATTGCCACCCTTACTTCTGTGCTGTTGCTGGTGGCAGCGTTGCCTGAAGCTGGGAGGCGGGAGAGCGGCAGCTGCTGCCTAGGTGCCCAGCTCTCAAGGCAGCACCACCGCCAGCAGCAGCTCAGAAGGTTGGCAATACCATACGTCCGTTATTTCTCTACAGCTGTTGGCCATAGTACTGCCTGCAGACCTGGGCGCCCAGCCAGCAGCCACTGCTCTCTACTCTGCCTTCAGAGCTGGGCGGCCAGAGAGAGGCAGTGCTGCCGTCAGCAGCTGCAGAGAAGTAAGGGTGCCATGGTATTGCCACCCTTACTTCTGTGCTGCAGAAACACTGCCTTCAGAGCTAGGGGCCCAGATAACAGCCATCGCTCTCTGCTCTGCCTTCACAGCTGGGCAGCCGGAGACCATATTTCAAGGGTGAGACCATTTTTCACAGTCCATGACGCGATTTTCACAGTCACGAATTTGGTAGACCCCTACTTATGTGTGAAAGGAGCTGTAAAATCCATTCTACTGTCCTAGCCTGCTCTGACTCTGAATATTCTTAAGGATTTTCTGTATCTGTATAGTAAGGTTTCTGAGGGAGTGATCACCACAGAGTGGAGAATGAGAAAGCTAGTTAGAAAAGACAGGTTTCCGTGGTAGCCGTGTTAGTCTGTATCAGCAAAAGGTGCCACAAGGACTCCTCGGTTTTTTTAGTTAGAAAAGAAAATGCATGGCCGGTTTAAGGGCTTTACTATTGGGCTGTGAGCCAGGTTTCTTAATAAAGAAAGGAGTTATAATAAATATATGAAACAGAACCATGCACATTCTTATTTATTTAGGCAATGGAGCCTTCAAGGACAGGCATACAGGCCTTCTTCGCTCCACACAGACACTAGACATGGACTGTGCTTGAGGGACTGTAGCGGGGTGATTACCCCGCTCCTGCCCTGAAGGGCTTAAAACAGCCAGGGAAAAGCTGGCCTGATTGGGGAAGTAGCCACAGCTGGGCTATGCCCCAATCAGGCCCAGCTGGTCCCTATAGAAGGCTGTGAGCAAGAGGCCCAGGAGCAGTCTCTCTCGGTCTTCAGAGACAGAAGGGCCTGGCTGCAGGGAGCTAGAGACAGAGTACCTGAGTGGAGTAGGGCTGGGGACAGGCTGAGGAGCTCCAGCCTGGAAAGCCCCAGGCTGCGGCCTAGCAGAAGGCCAAGGGGTACTGGGGTTTGCAGAGGGCAGCCCAGGGGTAGGCCAAGGCAGCAGGTCCAAACCCAACCTTGCCAGTGATGAGTAGACTTATACTGCAGTCTGCCCCAGGGCGTGGGGCTAAACTATGACTGGCAGTAGCCTTACACTGAGGTGAGGTGGGGATAGTGGGTGGAGGTTCCCCACAGAGGGGAGACCCTAAGGCTGAGGGGTTACTGCCAGGGGGGCAGCGCCCCAGATAACAGGGCACCGGGGTCCTGGGAGGGACGCGGGGCCAGTGGCAAGGCGGATCACCGGCCTGCAGAGGGCGTTCCAAGGCTGGGAGACCTAATTCCCGAGGATGACCAGCAGGAGGCGCTGTGATGGTGAGTGATGGTGAGTTCCAACCCCGTTACAGGGACAAAGGGAATGATCTGGCTCCGCTTGAAACACTAGAATTAATGGGACTGGGCTCTAAGGCAGACTCAGGGTTTTATGCAGGCCTAGTACAGGTGGTAGAGTTTTGATTCAAAGATCTGCTCTCCTACACAATGGCAGAAATGGCAAATGTCTCACAGTACCATAAAGTCTTTGCTAGGGATGGAAATAAGTGCTACCAAACAAGTGTTTCTTATAGAATTACTGCAGTTTACACCAACTGTATTGTTTGTTTGATTATTTTTTTTTAACTTGATGGCGTTGTTAGGCTATGAACCCAAGTCACCATTGTAATTAGGCACTGCTGGAAGACCTGGAAATTCTGTAGAAGATTCACTGCTAGAGGAGGGGAGAGGCAGTCACTGAAAAGGTGAGTAGAAAATATTTGAAGTTAATAAACAGAATCATCTTAAATCTCTTTACTAGATTAACTTACTGCCTCTTATATTTACAGTCTAGAAACTGTCACAACTTCAGTCAAATACAAAATGTCCATACATGTGCAAAATTGACAGAAAGCAAACACTGAGCATTGTCACTGCACATGAGCAAAACAGCTTCATAGGTAGCAGTGGCACACACTTAACCGTGGCACTAATATGCAAAAAACTCTTTCCTAACATAGGGTGCATCAAAAAGGAAACAGCCAGACTTGACAGATTCACACCAGTGCCACCATTTTAGCTACAATGCTCACAACTACATAAATCACGATGACATACATGTAGGATTTGCTTACCATTAACCAACTGGCAGCATAATGGAAAAATTACTGGGAAAGCCACACACAAAGAGTACATTTCTAGAGCAAGCTGAATTATGAAAGGAATCTGCCATTAGGGCTGTTTGGACAATTACATGGAAAGGACTATAATTTAGACTAACGTGTCTCCTGAATGTAGCATGGTGTAAAAGAATCTCATCACCAAGGTCTTTGGAACCTGACAGAAATATGCATTGCTGGAGCATCCAGTAGGGAGGCATTAGCCTTGGGCTGGCCTGAAGAACTCTCACACGGCTTTGACATTCACAAGTAATGCAGCTATCCCTAACTCATACCAAGAAAGCCCTCTCGCTATCTCCCCATGCCACCACCAAGTGCTCTCAATTTATAAATCAATCAATCAACTTTGATAATGAGCCTCTATCATCAGTTGCCACCTAAAAGCAAGACGAGCAGATGGGAAGTTATATTTCCATCATGTTCCCTCTTCCACCACAATCACTAACACAAGTAGAGCTGAGTTCTGGTGGGAAGTGTGAACATTTATGAGTAGATGAAACCTGCTCCATCTGCTCAAGCAGACGGGACAGAACGATGTGGTTAGAATGACAAAGTAGCCACGTGGGAGAAATGGATTTGGAACAGCGCACGTACCTCTGGGCCAACGTATCACACGGCGACCCCTTCCTCTTCCGGGAATCAGGGTTAGCAGGGTCTGTTGAACTGTCCCCAAGGCCACTCATGTTGAGCTACTTTGCACCTGTACACAAAAGAGAAACACCAATCAGGAACCTGACAGGGGGAGCAGCTTACAACCAGGTAATGAATGATTCATACACAGGAATGCCAGACAGCAGGAATCCGGTGACCACTGAATAGTAAACTAGTCCAGCAGCCAATTACTCTTAACATTTAACATCTTCTCCCTAATCTCCCACCAGAACACGGTACCACCTTCAGTTTACGCCTTGTCCCACCAACTTGTAAAGGAAGCTTAAGTAGAAAGCACCGCAAGTGGAGAAAGAGACCATGTGTATTACCACCTTGGAAGTATTTCTCTCACACAAGCCCTCACCCTCTATATCCCTTTTCTTCTATACAATATGGATTGAGCTTCCTTAGTTTCCCCTGCCCCCATAGCTTTTAAATCTGGTTCTCTGTTTTTTCCCCAATACCCTCAAACAATAAGGTTAAGCACAGCACCCACTACTCCAGATATGATCTTCATAGGGCTCTGTGCACGGGAGCATCACCAGCCTTGTTATTATGAGAGCACTCTCTATACAGGGGAGAACTGATTTTTTTTTTTTGGCAGTATGACACAGTTAGATGATTTTCAGTTACTCCTTTAGCATCCTCTGATTTCTAGATAGCTGCCCCACCCCCTCACATTTGCGTCTGTGCTATCTACTCTCTCTCTCTCTGTATATGACTTTACATTAATTGGAAATAACTCATCTTGTTGGATGTAACATCTCCCCCTCAACAAAAAAAAAAATTCATCATCTCCCTTTGCAGTTGGACTTCTGTGTTTGGTACCTCTTCCATTTTGCATCAGTGTTGATTTAAGACCTTCCATTAGTGTAGAGATTCCCAGATTGTGGTTGGGAGGCCACTAGGCGACTGGTCGCATGGCAGGCCAGTGGCGCTCTTTGTTTCCAGCTCCATTAAAAGAAGCTTTTTAAAAAAACAAAAAACTATTATCATTGTCCCATGAATGCAATTGCTATTGCAGTGATGTTATGGGATTGTCGACGGAAGGAGGTGGGGTCCATGCAAGAGGACATAAGAGGTAAGTGTACTTTAGACACCCATTCTATTAAGATGTGGTCCGCATTAGGAAAGTGTTTGCAAATCCCTTCCCCACAGCTTTAATCAAATTCCTAAGCAGTGAGGGTTACAATATCCCATTTGCTACCACTCTACATGCATCTGACGAAGTGAGTATTCACCCACGGAAGCTTATGCTCCAATACGTCTGTTAGTCTATAAGGTGCCACAGGACTCTGTCGCTTTTTACAGATCCAGACTAACACGGCTACCCCTCTGATACTCTCCAATTAGGGGGTTTTAAAATACAACCATACTTATTTAAACAAAGAAGTGACAAAATTCCAAATATACTGACAAGAATTTTCAAAAGTAACTGGTGATTTGGGGTATTTCAATACAGTACCTGATAGTACTATCCTGCAATTTCTCCATATAATGTAAGCTGCCTTTTATTTTATTTTTAATATTATTTGTACTACCACAGCATCTAGGCACGTCAGTAACGGACTAGAACTCCACTGTATTAGGTGCTGCACAAACAGAAAAATAAAAAATGATCTCTGCCCCAAAGAGTTTACTATCTAAGCAGAAGAGAAGAATCAACAGATGGATACAGAGAGATGGGGGGAGTACAAGGAATCAATGAGGCAACATTGGTCAGCATGATACACAGTGGTCTCAGCACACCAGCAGTCTAACTGTTAAGTTTTTTGTAGACAACAGAGCAAAGGAGAGACTTTTAAAGAAGGATTTGAAGGACAATGAAGTAGCTTTATAGATGTTTACAGGAAGCTCCTCCCAAGGGTGAGGGGCAGCATAGGAGTAAGCATGAAGGTACTTGTTTAAAAATTTAACAAGTGGGCAAAGGATGCTGGCATCATGGGCTGATCGGATATGGGGATCGACATCTCACTGCTGAATCAGAGGTGATAGGTTGTGTAGAACCTTGGATGCGAAGACAAGCAGCTTATATTTGATTCATTAGAGAAGGGGGGAGAGAAAAGAGGGGGTAACATGGCAAAGTGATGGGCTAGGAGAATGATCTTTGCAGCAGCAATCTCAATAGATATGAGCGGGGTAAGATTGCATTTGTCAAGGCCAGAGAACAGGATGTTGCAGTATTCGAGACACAAGATGGTGAGAGCCTGGATGAGAGTTTTAGATGTATGTATGGGTAGGAAAGGCTATATCTTAAGGGTGGTTAATTAGCTTTCTTTCTAGCACTGCTAAAATCCAGGCCACCCGTTCTCTTAAGTTATTAAGCTATATTTTTAAAAGTGGGTTATTTAAAAAAAAATTAAACACTTAAACCAATTTGAGAGACAACCCCTTCCAGATATTACCTCATGGCTTTCTACACTCAATGACACACCCAGAAATTCCCAAAACAAATGATCTGGCAGTAGTGGGGGACTTTAACTACCCAGACATCTGTTAGAAAAGAAATACAACAAAATACAAAATTTCCCATAAGTTCTTTGGAATGTATTGGGAATAACCTTGTGTTTCACAAGGTGGAGGAAATAGGCAGCAGGAAAACCATTTTAGACTTGATCCTGACTAACAGAGGAACTGGTTGCAAATTTGAAGGTGGAAGGCAGTTTGGGTGAAAGTGATCATGAAATAACAGATTTCATGATTCTACGTAAAAGAAGGAGTAAGAGCAGCAGAATAAGGACAGGTTTCAGAGTAACAGCCGTGTTAGTCTGTATCCGCAAAAAGAAGAACAGGAGTACTTGTGGCACCTTAGAGACTAACAAATTTATTAGAGCATAAGCTTTCGTGGACTACAGCCCACTTCTATGCATCCGAAGAAGTGGGCTGTAGTCCACGAAAGCTTATGCTCTAATAAATTTGTTAGTCTCTAAGGTGCCACAAGTACTCCTGTTCTTCTTTTTGAGAATAAGGACAATGGACTTCAAAAATGCAGACTTTAACAAACTAAGAGAGCTGCTACCTAAAGACCCATGAGAAGAAAATCTAACGGAAAAAAGTTCAGGAAAGCTGGCAGTCTCTCAAAGAGATGTTAAAGGAGCAACAGCAAACTATCCCAATGCAAAGAAAAGATAGGAAGACTAGTAAGAGGCTAAAGAGCTTCTGATTCAGGAGCTATATTGATTACTTGACAATAAAAAAAGGAATCCTACAAAAAGAGGAAAGAATGGACAAATTGCTAAGGAGAAGTACAAAAGAATAACACAAGCAAGTAGGGACAAAAGCAGAAAGGATAAGGTATTTTCCTTAATGACTTAGATAACGGAATGGAAAGTGTGCTTATAAAATCACCAGATGATACCAAGCTGGAAGGGGTTTGCTAGAACTTTGGATAAAAGGATTAAAATTCAAAACAACCTTGCCAAAAAGAAGTATTCCTCTGAAATCAACTTGATGAAATTCAGTAAAGACAAGTGAAAAGCACTACACTTGGGAAGGAAAAATCAAATGCACAACTATAAAATGGGAAATAACTGGCTATGCAGTAGTACTGCTGATAAGGATTTGGGTATACAGGTACAGTGGATCACAAATTGAATACGAGTCAACAATGTGATGCAGTGTTATTGTAGCTGTGTTGCTCCCAGGATATTAGAGACACAATGTGATGCATTTGAGAAAAAGGATATTATTATTCTGGGGTGTATTAACAGGAGTGTCAGACATAAGACATGGAAGGTAACTGTCCTGATCTACATGGCACTGGTGAGGCCTGAGCTGGAGTACAGTGTCCAGTGCTGGGCACCACCCTTTAACAAAGATGTAGATAAATTGGAGAGAGTCCAAGGGACTGCAGCAAAAATTATCAAAGGTTTAGAAAACCTATGAAGAAAGTTTTAAAAACTGGGCACGTTTAGTCTTGAGAAAAGAAGGAGAGGGTGGGGGAAGAGAGACCTGATAACAGTCTTCCAGTATGGTTAAGGGCTGTTATAAAGAGGACGGTGATCAATTATTCTGCATGTCCAATGAAAGTAGGACAAGAAGTAAGTGGCTCAGTTTGCAGCAAGGGAGATTTAGGTTAGATATTAGGAAAAGCTTTCTAGCTATAAAGATAGTTAACTACTGGAACAGGCTTCCATGGGGGGCTGTGGAATCCCCGTCACTGTAGGTTTCTAAGAACAGGTTAGACAAACGCCTGACAGGGACGGTCTAGGTTTACATGGTCTTGTCTCGGTGTGGGGCGCTGGACTAAATGACCTTAGAGCTGGAAGAGTCCTCGAACATTTCTATGATTCTAGGACACACTTACTCAGCTTTGTATGGCTTGACAAACCAGCCAGATACTCTCAAAGGGTCAGATCCTGCAAGATGACAATCACTCTCGACTCCCACTGGCTTCATAAAGTTGGGCTCTAAGGGTGGGATTTTCAAAAGAACTCAACACTGGCATAAGCCCTGCCCCCACTGCAGGCAGTGATAAAACTTCCATTGACTTCAAAGGGAGCAGAGTTAGACCAACACTGAGTCCTTTTGAAAACCTCACCCTACATCTTTAAATGCCTTTTATGCATGCTCCTTTCAAATCTTGTGCAATATACTAGTGAAGAGCGAGAGAGAGAGAGCGAGAGTGCATGTCTCTGTCTCCTTTCCAGTAGCTGGTCCCTTAGAGGGTAATGGCCTACTACTGCTACTGTTTATGGAGTTTCTCCTTTAGCTCATGTAGTAGAGATGTGTGCTGTGATGCTAAAGATCCTGAATTCAAACCTATCTCATGATCCATTGTGCTTGCTATTTATTGGTTAATGCGTCTATTCTGAAGTAAATGATACATCTGTGTTTAAACAGAAGTGCCATGAGAAACCAATCTTTATACAGCAAGCAGTCATTTTTGCTAATGTTTGCGTCACTATTACCAAGATGAAAGCTGTTCCTGAAATCTTTTCAGCAATATTAGCATAGCCAATCAATAATTCCTCCTTTGTGCCAGTGAGAATGAAAAGCAGAGTCAGTTGTCCTAATTTATGAGAAACAAGAATAATCAACAGCAGAGAA